AGTGGTGGGAAAGTGGTAGGGAAGGGGTGGGGTTGGAGAGTTTGCCAGTTAGTAAAAGCATTTATTGAGAAATTTGCATTAATTTGAATAACGTGCTCCTGCCCCCCTGTCACCTACTCAAAGCATTGTCACGTGTCGGTTTTCCCAGGAACTTGGCAACTGCAATCTAACGCTTGACAACTCATTTTGAACTTCTAAAAACAGTCAAAACAGTCAAAGACGGCCACCCCTTGTCGAGGAGAAAATTGAGCTGTCTCCAACAGTGTCATTATAATGTACAAAATATGCAAGTACGTAAATGGGAAGTAGCAGTGTGAAAGGTGATTGTCTTATACAGGTGGCTGTTAGAGCAGGTTCGACTGTATAGGGCTAAAATACACTGACCGTAACTGTTGGGGTATGCGCGGGTAAGGAAGTTGAAAGAGTGGGTTGGTGGGGTGGCTCGTATGCCAGTATGTAGACACTCTGTGTATATTATTTACATGTTATATGTCGTATTACTTTATTACACATCAGCTCTTCTATAAAATGCCCCGGGGGAATTTGTTCATAAAATAGCTCTGATAGTGATAGGACCAGGCAGGTCTCTTACTCTGTTTTATCAGACAAGTCACGTGCAAGTCACGTGCAATAAACAGTTTATATAGTTTGTTCTGTTTCAGTAGCATTTTAAGGCACTTGCAACACAATTAGGTCATATATAAGTACCAAAGATTAGAGGTGTTCCAAGAGAGTAACAAACGCAAAAAGAAGGAAGATAGATAAAGACGACAGATGTTTGATAGGAAGGAAGGAGCTAACCAGACCAGAGCACCCACCAACCACCCACTTAGTTTGAGTGTTGCTGTCTTTATAAGGAAAAATCGAGGTAAGTTGTGTTTTGGGGAAGGATTCGACGGCGTCACTCGCAGCACTATGAAGCTGATATCAGCTCACAAATAGAAGTTACAGTGCACTTTTTCCATCAATAAAACTGAAAACAATGGGTAAAATGGCATTTGCATTTCATGACCCCGTAATCTGAAACGCATTGCCTGGCAATTTAAGAGAGAAAGCACTCAGAACCTGTGTTCTTTTATCGGGGTTGATCGCAATAGAGAAATGCCATAACATTACTAATACTATCATTATCATTACCTTTTCCATTTTTATTATTATTATTAACGTTATTATTTTTAGGATTAAATTAGTGTGCAATTGCGGTAAAGACAGCCTTCTTACACTTTCTCGACATGACGCACGACTAATGGTAAAGTTTTCTTCAATTTCTAACAGTGAGATTTGATACCCTTTTTCGACACATTCAAAGTCCCTGTGAAGGTGGAGCTCTCGGCACCCTGTGAGCACGTTCGGAAGGCATGAAAAAGATTCAAAGAAATAGAAGATAAAAATCAGACCCTAAATGAATGGCTTCGAACCTGAAACGTAAGCGCGTAGGCCAAGACCGTCGACCAAAATTGACCTAGCAGGCTGTGTGTGTGTGTGTGTGTGTGTGTGTGTGCGCGTGCGCGCGCGCGCGCGCGTTTGTGTGTGTGTGTATGTGTGTG